TGCAATTGTAGAAACTGCAATGGGCACTTCTCTGCATAGTCTCGGTACGGCCCAAGAAATATATCTACAGAAAATTCGACAATTGGCTCCCATTTTTGCTTATAGGTAATCAATAATTGCAGCAAACGATATATATATACATGTTTAGCTTATAAATTAATTCTCGGCCCCAACATTTAATATAGTGTGGAACTATAAAACCCATATATGCAATATAACTAGCCAGTCGTCCTCTGCTATCTGTAAGAGGGAGTCGTCTCAAAAGCGAAGACTAAAGATGATATATATATATATATTTCCTTTTATTTTTCTATTTGCGGAAATGTCAATCAGACGCATGGGCATTATGTTCAAAATACATACCAAAGAAGAAGAAAATTTATTCCCGCACCGTGGTTATGGGACAGGACTTCTCTCTCATCGTGGCAAAAGGCCGAGAATTAATTCCATTACATTCTAAGATTTATTTTCGGTAGTATATAATTATGCTATTTAGGTTAATAAGCCCTTGGTACGTATTCACTGGTTATGGATATTGTCGTCCGCGGGCAGATTGGAAACGAAAATTCTAAAACACTTGTNTTGCATGGATTTACTGAAAAAGTGAGTAAGAATTAAGTTCCTTAACATTCATTATGTACTTTAGTGTATGATATTTAAACGTGCATGTCATATAATATTGCTGATAAAAACTGATATGATGTACAGATATATTAGTGAAATAACTCAATAAAATGAACCGCAAAGTAAATTAATGTTTTCTTTTACGTTTACATAGATTATAGCGGAAAGAAAACTTTATCACGAACAAACGAACGGTAGATATTTGAAAATTATCGAAAATAACGATGTGACAGAAACAGACGGCAGAGAAATATATGGAAGTACATAATTCAAGTTTAAATGTCCTCTTCATCTTCATAATGTAAAATAACAATCGGGCTTTTCATTAAAAAATTCGAAAATGCATCTAATTTCGCATCGAATCTAAAAGCACATAAAAAATGTACATAATAAATCTATTATAAACTTATAGCTTATGCTCTTTTGCTTGATTCAGGGGAAAAAAAGCGACTCGCTATGTTGGATCTTCTAATAGCAGCTTCGCGTGAACATCATTTGACTGATATGGATATAAGAGAAGAAGTAGATACTTTCACATTTGAAGTACGTATAATCGTAATATTTCTCGATGATTTGATATATTATACGATGTATAACATACAAATTCTCTACAGGGTCACGACACTACAGCGATAGCTATATCCTATACTTTATTACTGTTAGCAGAACACAAGGAAATTCAGGTACTTCTTGACAGAGACAAGCGATATATTTTATTGGGGATGCTAATTAATTTTGTTCAGTTATTTAGTCGTTAGTATTCTATTAAAGAAAAAGTTAGATCCTTATTTAAAAGGTAGAAGTACTAGCTAGTCGAATATATTCTTCCATATATCAATTAAAATTAATTAATCAAATGGGAATATTCAGGAATACCCTCTCTAAAATAAATATAAATATATATATAAACCTATATATATATATATAAACATATATAANTATATATATAGACATAATTGCACAATCTATTTTTTGCGTGTATATGAAAATATCATGAAGTAGTGAGATACGCATTTCTATTTAATGTTGGTGCTACAGAATCGCGTCAGAGAAGAGGTCAATATTGTGATGGAACAGTCAGGGGAAATATTGACTATGGCGTCATTGCAGAATCTATCGTACTTAGAAAGATGTTTGAAAGAATCATTGCGGCTGTACCCCAGCGTATATTTCATTTCGCGAGTTACTGGGAAGGATGCACAATTACGTGTGTATTTAACAAATCTTTATGAATATGTAAACATATTTTAAATATTTCGAATGTTTCAAAATTAATTGGATAATTATATCAGAATTCCATTCTTAAGATATACTAAATATGCGTCGATTAATATTGCATATTATA